ATGATGCAATGCATCGGTGGACATCAAACAGATTTCTACTGCTGTGAGCAACATGTGAGAAAGGACATCTCTTGTAAGAGATTATATGAGAAGAGAAGAGTCAGAGGACAGAAATCATGCTAAATCTATAATAAAGTAGCCAAAATAAAAGCTTGAACGTGTTGTGTATTTGTTGCTCAGGGTTTGTCTTTTTTAGTACAGTTTGAAGTCAGTGTTATTTTCTGATAGCTTCCAGCTGGTGAGGTGATACAATACTTTAATCTATGCGTGAGGAAATGAAAGCATATATGATGATTTGGTGTCTCAGAAGCTGAAAAATGAACACATTTATCAGTATTTCTTAGATGGAAAAAAACAAGATTGAACGGCTTTGCTAATATGTAAGATACGGTAGGAAGGAAGCACAAACAAGAGATTCTGACAAACATGCTTGCAAAAAAACCAAAACAAAGCTGTATTATATTTTATTACAATGTAGCTAAATACATGTAGTAAATATCTACCGTTTAAAGTCGATTAGGGAGACTTTAAGGGATTTTCCAGACTCCAATGTTAAGATAATAACTGTTCGCGTTCTCTTTTGCTTTTAATGATGATAAAAAGAAACAAGATGATAGGATTGTTTTTTTATCATGTCAGGTGATGTGCAGTAAAGAAATTTCTCGCGGGAGGTGTAGGGAGTTTCTATTCACTATTATATGCAGTAAGGAAAGTTAGGTGAATCCCAGTATTACTGTAAGGTCTTAATTAGCAGGCGAAAAACTAGGTGAAAGTGAAAATAATTCAGAACTGAGTATCTCAAAGTTATATTCACATCCTCCAGGCTTGCCCTTTTCATTCATCCCACATCTCTCTGTCAGTCTCTGTCCCTCTATTTCAATCTCTCGCTTTCTCTCTTAATTAAATTGTCTTTTCCAGTGCACCTCAACTGGAATACATTCTGTCTGGTTCAATGTAATTTACACATTAAATTCAAATCACTCTGCTTTAGTGAAACCTGATTTGGGTTAAAAAAAGAAAAGAAAAGAAGAACAACCTGTCTTATAAATCAGTAAACACTTAATAATGAAAAGAGCTGGAGGTAAAAAAAAAAAAAAAGAAGGAAAAGAAAGAAGACAACTACAATTTTTCTGCTTTTTTGGTACAGTATCTGACGCTCCCAGTGCCGGCTGGATGGCAGAGATTTTATTCAGAGGAATACATTACATAAAACAAATTAGTCAGCAAGATAGAAGAATGCCAGTGCAAATGGCCCTGGCTCTTATTTCCATCCTTATGAGATAACTGTACCCATTAGAAGGTTAAAGCTATTGTGGTGTCCCTGTCGTTTCCATAGACTCTGCCTTGGAAATTACAGCAATCCGTCTTTAAACTTTGATGCAGCCAGAAAGCTCTCCTCATCCCTTCTCATCCCTTTCTCCCTGACCTGTATGTGTGGAGTAGCATATGTGTCTGTGAGAGACAAGGGCAGGTAATGGCAGGAGAAAAAAGGGTATGAGAGGGCGGGGCTAGGCTGTCTGCCACCCAGGACCGGAGAACATAAAGAGAAAAATATGGTCATAAAACGTCTCAATGACTATGAATACTAATACTGATCCTGTGAGCCAAATCTACCAAGCCTGCCCTCTTTCTGTTCCCTGCAGTTTTGCTCGCAGAACAAGTCGCTTAAAAATGAAGCGAAAACAGTGAAACGCACAGGCTGAATTGTAACTTCATTTTAAAAATCCTGCTGCTATTCAAATTAGCCACACCGGATGTAAGGAGCTCTCTGATTGGTTGGACAGACACAGGTTGTCTGCCTGGATTTTGCTAGCTCATAGCTTCGGCCTGCTAAGAAGCGTGTGTGCTTGTACAAAGGCCGTTCAGCCTCGGGATTTACACTCGGCTCGACACGGATATGTGAAGAATGAAGGGACCCTGCAGCGCAACCTCTGACTGAGTGCCTGTTTACGCAGTCTGACCACCTGTTGAAGATAACGTGCTAACATGGCTAACGCTAGCATCACCGCATGTAGCCCCGTTATTTTAAGGTCATCTTAGCTTATGAACATTTTACGTCGCCGCTGTACGAGCTAGCTACGTGTGTTGTAAGCTGCTGTGCTCTTCACAAATAAAGCTGGAAGCAGCTCAGACTATTAGAACCAGCACTGAGGCCTGTTACATTTATACAGTGTTAGAGCAATGGCTGCAGCCTACAGCCTTTAAACTAGCGATTAAAATGCTGACAGTAAACTCGTCAGTCCAGATGTTACCACATTACTTTGTGATACTTAGAGTTAAATCAACTGAGACAGGCTGATTAAAATAACAGCTGTCAGTTCTCTCATTCATTATATCAAGACTGGAGATCACACTACTGATTTCAGTTCATTTAATATGTGAGTGCACAGATTCATTCTCAACTGGACATAAATGATGATCAAAGGTTGTATATATGATGAATTCATCAAATCCCAGCCTCTAACACAGTGCGCTGAATCTTAGCTTTGAATGTCCAGTATATTCTAATCAATGCAATTTAAGCATTCACTGAACCTACAGTATCTACACCTACGCCCTAACCACCACAGTCTAATCCTTCGGCTATGATTCACTAGACTGCCACTGACTGCCTGTCTCTTCTCATTATAGTGACTGTGTACCTCCACCCAAGCCGCTGCCCCTTTTTCCATTCCCAGGATCCGTCTATGAAATCTTGCACCTAGTCATAGCATTCAGTCAGAGTTTCATGTTCATAGTTTGGCCTCATAGTTCTCAGTTCATAGCTTCCACAGTTCATAGCATTCATAGTTTCCTGCTCTGTAATTTAACAATAATAATAATAATAATGGATTTATATAGCGCTTTTCAAGGCACCCAAAGCGCTTTACAATACCACTATTCATTCACTCTCGCATTCACACGCTGGTGGAGGCAAGCTACGGTTGTAGCCACAGCTGCCCTGGGGCAGACTGACAGAGGCGAGGCTACCATATCGCGCCGTTGGCCCCTCTGGCCAACATCAGTAGGCAGTAGGGTAAAGTGTCTTGCCCAAGGACACAACGACCAGGACAGAGAGCCCGGGGATCGAACCGGCGACCTTCCGGTTACAGATGCGCTTCCCAACCCCCTAACTAGGCACTGTAAATAAAGCACTGTGTTCACGCCCTTTTTGCCTCCCTCTGTGTCTGCATTTGAGTCCACACCCACAGCCTGGCCCTCTCAGCCGTAACAGTGGCCTCACATTAGAAGAAGATTTCATGGTTGAATCAGTGACTCCAAGGTCTCCAGGTTCTGTGGCAGCACAACAACCCATCCACCACCGTGTGACACTTGGTGTGAGGTGTTTTGTGTTTGGTTTTCATCCAACACAGCCAGGTATTTCCACTTTTGTTTACTTGCCTGTCCAAAATTTGTGGTGTTTCTTTTAGAGAGAAAAGGTTTTCTCCGGGCTGCTACTTACCCTCTAAATTCATACGGAAACAGTAAGTTTTTCAAAGGACTGCATAGAAAAATTTCTTATTTACATGACTACATGTTTACCTTCCATGTCACTTGATGTTTGCATCACTTTAGGCACCTAAAGTACTTCTTAATAGTGGAAAGACTCCAGTTTGGGGGAAAAAATTTTTTTCCAAACAATGAAAAACGTCCTTATATTTAGACATGGCAGCAATGGGCTATAAACATGGGTCTCCATTTAGAGCTGCAATCACAAGGTGTTGTGTGATGATTCGAGCGTACCGCCTTGTGATAACCTGACCCAGAGCCGCTGCAAACCGACCAAAGAGATACTGACTATGCAGAGTGAAGCATCTACGTAACAATGCAAGAAAACACAGACATATGAGGAGGTTATGTGACATGGGAAAAAATGCAAAGATCACAGCAGCAAACTGCAGGGACTCCGTGTTAACACAATGTTAACTGTGCGTCTATTTAATTGTGTTTTATTTAGAAAAAGTTTTGTGTTGTGTAAACAGCACTAGTATAAATATAGGATAAGTAGAACAGCTGCTTTGCTAACTTGTATTATGTAATGACAGGCTAATTAGCTAAATGTTGACGTTGATGCTAGTCAGCCATATGCAGTTATAAATGCTTGATTAAACCGTGCCAGTCTGTTAAAAGAAACCCACTAGATTTATGTCATCTATTTTAGAATCATCACGACTCAATCATTAATCATTGATCCTGAAACGACGGCCCAAAAGTGTCTCACTATTTCCCACTATTGCTGACAGTCGTACATCAAAGCAGCAAGTTTCTCTTGACATCAGTGTAAGCTTTTACATCGAATAACCTCACCAAGTCAACGCTGGAATACACAGAAGGATCTTACCACAAATGTTACCATAATCAGAATATGAAACACCCAGTTTCACACTGTTATTATCATTGTAGGTCAAGAGATCTTTAGTTTATAGAGATATTACTGCTGCTTTTTTTTTTTTTTTTACCATACTATCAGCTGTTTCATGCCATGGTTTCTAATTTTCAAAGTCCTTTCTGCATTTCATGTCAGGTGCTCCTTATAAATACCTGTACTTTCATAGTAACCCCTTGCAGCAAGCTTTCCCTGACAAATGTTGGAGGACAGAAGAAAAAGTCGTAATCTCTCAAGCATTTCTAATGAGTTTTTCTCCTACAATTATTTGATAAGAGCAGACAAGACTTGAGGCAGCATCTATGATACACTAGCTGCTACTGCTGAGGTGAGAGCTCTGCTGATTACACACACAGCCATTTACACACACACACCCAGAGGCTTACAGTTTGTCATCTCAGAGTGCAACAATCCTAATAATAACACAAGAGGCTGAAGTTATGACCGGCAGGCACACCCGAGTTACCAATCTGGACCTCTTTAATCTGAACACACATAAAAAAGATGCCTTATAACCCTTCCATCTCTAATTTTCACCACTACTCGACTTCTCTGCTCAAGCCATAACCACAAGCACCCCTCACACACTTTGTCCTCCAGCTGCTCACGGCACTTTCCAGCTCCTAACTCTTACCACACTGAGTCCCAGTTGTTCCCTCTGCAGGTAAGGCAGGTTCCTGCGCTCCAAGCTGGCCAGGTAATGCTGCAGTCTCGAGTAGGTGTAGGGTAGCAGTAGGCAAACTGATACACGTCGCCTCTCGGTCAAGCAAAAAGCAAAAGACATGACATAGTTGCGTCGGTGGTCAGGGCAGCGGTAGTAGTACACATTTTGGCAGGAAGCCTTTGCCTGCAACGACAAAAGATAAACCCAATACAGAGAAATCAGAAAGGTCATTTACAGTGTTGATTTCCTATTTTTGAATGTTTGTCACACTTAAATGTTTCAGATCAGATAGATAACACATGTAAACAAAAACTGCCGTTTCTAAAAGAAGGTGTGTTTCATTAATAAGTGGAAAAAAAACCAAACCTACATGAGAAAGGGTATTGCCTCCCTAAACCGAATCACTGAGGGTCTACCCTTAACAGCAACAGCTGCGATCAAGCATTTGCGATAACTGGCATCAGTCTTTATGGCATGTGGAGGAATTTTGTCCCACTCATCTTTGCAGAATTGTTGTAATTCAGCCACATCAGAGGGTTTTCGAGCATTTACAGCATTTTTAAGGTCATGCCACAGCATGTCAATCAGATTTAGGTCAGGACTTTGACTAGGCCACACGTTCTTAAGCCATTCAGAGGTGGACTTGCAGGTGTGTTTTAGATCATGACCTGCTACAGAACCAAGTGCGCCTCAGCTTGAGATCACGAAGCGATGGGCGAACATCTCCTTCGGAATTTTTGGTAGACGGGAGAATTCAGGTTCCATTTACCACAGCAAGTCTTCCATGTCCCAAGGCAGCACAACAGTCCCAGACCATCAAACTACCACCACCATATTTTACAGTGCAGTTCTTTAATGTTGTTCTGGGCTCTTTGTGAACTTGGGGGAGTCGTCGACGTGTTCCTGGAGTAATTTTGGTCGGCCCGCCACTCCTGGGAAGGTTCACCACTGCTCCAAGTTTTCTCCGCAGGTGGAAAATGGCTTTTATTTCTTGATTTAACAGGTCTGCCAGTAATCCAGTGCCAGTGTGTTCAGAGAAACTTTTTTTTAAAGGTGGTTAATCATAGTTAATTCATGACTTAACACAGGACGAGAGATCTGGATAACTTTTCTTTATTATTAATGAAATCATAAAAAAATGAATTTTGTATTTAGTCAGGTTATCTTTGACTAATATTAAATTGTTGGACAATTTCAACCGCAAGCAAAAATATGAGGAGCACTGAGACCAAAGCACTTTTCCAAGAAAACAGAGACATGTATAGTAATGGATACAGAGCACTTAGAAATCATAATGCAGAAATTGCATCAATGTGCCATCGTGTCTTCTTCCGAGAAATAGAGTTCAGCTGGTAAGGAGGAACACAACTGAAGGAATGAGAGGATATCAGCTGGTAATTATCTGCTTGGAAATGCATTACTTTCTGTTTTGTTTATGGCAAACTCTAGAATTTTAATATACAGTAATGTGCAAAAGTCATATCTTTATATTTTCTAGGAAAATAAGAAATAGGTGCAGCAATTTATTGAAACATACATGCTGCATATAGGACAGAAACAGAGTCTAACGAGAACTGTAAACAACAGGATCAATCCATTATGAGACCGTTCAGTGTGTTTTTCTATCCAGGTATGCTTTAACTGCACTGCCAGTGTCTTTGGAGTAGTTGTGCTGAAAAATGAAGCCGTTGCCAATCAGACTCTTTCCAGATGTCATTGCACGGTGGATCAAAATCTGACGGTACTTTTCTTGATTTCTTTTTCTATTTGCTGGGTTTCTTTCCTATTTCTGTGACTTTCAGACCCTTTTTATCTCCTGTGGATGTTTTTTTAGGCCTGCCACGTTGTTTTTGTTCCCCACGTGTCAATTTTCCTCAAATATTTAAGAACACACAGCAGATATGAAGACACGGGAGTGACAAGACTTTTGCATGATACTGTATAATTGAAGCTACAAAATTAAGAGCCAACAGTGAAAATACAAAGAGAACTGGTTGTGGTAATTAGTTAACACAGCGATTTAATGCAAAATTACATACATAACAAAATGTAACAAAACTCATAGACTTGGTATTCAAAAAGCACCAGCAATATAATGCAAATAAATACAAAGACTGATGAATTATAAACTAACTGGATACATTCGACTATGTCTCTCTTTCAGACTTGCTTTAAATCTGCATTCCTGACGTAGCATTTTAAAAGAGGCAAATATAAGCAGATTCTGCATCAACCAGTGCAGGCAAACAAAAAAAAGATTTGTGGTAAAATCAGCAGATAAAGATATTTCACTCAAAACAATAATCAGCCTGAGTGACACTTTTATAGCATGAGTATAAAAGAAGGGTATCATCACGACGCTCCTGCTAAATTAAGAAAAAATGACATATGCCAAAAACAAGACAGCTTAATTTTGATGTCGGTCAGTTGAGAATTTCTACAGATGATGTCTGTGACTTTCAAATGTGGCCAACTCATGTTCCAACTCTGTAATTAAAATGACATTCTGTGACCACAAAGGACTAAGACCTTATTGTAATATATCTTTTTTTTTTTTCAATGGTTTTCGGGTTTTATATTTTATGTCTGTAGTTATGATTTGAGCTTGTGAGAAGCTAGAAGAGTAAAATGCATTAGAAACATGTAAGCATCTCGTTTGGGCGTCGCGTGTGATACTAAGTGCTGTTGTTTGTGTGTTGTGCTTGTGCACTGTGTATGTTGGGCTTAGAGCTAAATAAAGCTGACTGATCCTGGCACCTTAAGGATGATCGATGGGTCCGGACAGCACTGCTGCAGTCCACAAAACTTCTCTGCCTACTCAACATGTTTCCTTTACTGCTCTTCATCTGTCTGTCTTTGTCTTCCTCTTTCTTTTGTTTAGTATTCACTATTAAGACTTGTGAGGAGAATTTAGCATGCAAGTTTCCCTTCTTCTCTTCTCTTTCATTTTTTCCATCTTTGTACCAGTCTCACATGTCTTGTCCTGTCACTCACTGACTCTGCCTTGACAGTTTCTGTAAGACGACCAAGCATGGGGAACAACGGTGCTGCCGTAGGAGCTTTGGCAGAGGCTCTGAGAGTGGAGGATAAAAAGAAGAAAATATGAGGGCGATGAGTGATTGGTGGGTTTGGGTAGTGGGAGCAGGAGAAAGGTGGAATAAGGAGATAAGGAGAAGATGAGAGAGCAGGGTGATGGCAGATCTGAGACTGATACGGCGATATACAGGAAGGGTGGCGGCTAACAGCGGAGCGGCTGTGAGATGGCAGGGCTGGCTAGTGAGCTAGCGGTCTGGCAACAGATCAGATGGAGATGCTATCAGGGCTGCGATACAGGACCTGATAATCAACAAACAGGACAGACTGCTCTGTGCTGACTCTAACAGAAAAGACTTTTCTTTCTGACTCAGGCCTGAAAAGTGGGCAGGAAGGACAAACAAGAAATGCATATGTTTGTGCAAACCCTAATATACCCGGTTCGGCAAAGTTCCTACACAGAAAGCTACAGTGAACACACATACATGCAACCACTTGAAGATGTCCCTGCAGGTACCTACTGAAACAAACCAGCTAAATCACTCAGCCTCTTTCAGGCAGAAGGGAGTGAAGGCAAGGCTGATTATTCCTTTAGAGGAGGCGAAAGGAAAATGTCTCTGCATGCAGCGTCCTCAGCAGAATACAAATGCAGCTAGTGGCTAGCTACACCACACCCACTCTGCCTACTGGAGCAGGCTCACAGGGTCATGTTACAGCCTTTAAAGGGACAAAGGAAAATGGTAAATCTTGAAAAACATGGAGAAAAATATACTATTTTACTCCACCACCACCCCCGAAGGAACCTGATTCATGCGTGGTAACATGGGCTCGAAGTAATGGCTGGCAAGGACAAACTAGACACACTGACAGACACATGCACACTCGTACAACCCCTAGTGCCCACACTAGTGCATTAAAGTAGTGCCAGCCTCCAAGGTGCAGGTTAATTAAAATAAGATGACACCTCACCTCTCCACATATTTCCCCATTTGGCTCTGCCCATTCATGCAATCCACTTCTTTCTGTTTCTCCTTCGCTCTCTCTCTACTGGGCAGCGCGTGACCTTGCCGGAGACTGGAAAAGTCCTGGCTATTGATTTTAATTACTGCTGCTTGTCCATCACAGCATTATAGTTATAGGCCAGAGAAAATGGCTATGTGACTTGTTATGGAAAAAGACTGCCTGGAAAGCCTGGATTACTGGCTAAGGACGGAGCTACACCTCCTTTAGATACCACAGTCACACACAAATGTGAAAATGCACAAAATCTTGGGCACATGCACACCGCTGCTCACAGCAGTCCTTTGTTTTTTTATCTGAAAGGTGACTGCTCCTGCTCGGCAGCTGGCAATTTGTTTTATCTAAATGGTACCTCCATGTGCCTCCCCTGCCCATCTCTTGACGTGGTACAGTTCCCAAACAGAATTATCACTGCACGGAATGAGGGGGGAAAAAATTGAGAAGCTCCCTGCGCACGATAAGGCTCTCACACATAGTTTTACAATTCAGTGATTACAGAGACACAGAAACTCAAACACAAACAAGAATATGCAAAGAGTCACACGGCGAGAAAAACACCACAAACTCGAACTGCGCGCGAGCTACATCAAGGTCATTCCTTTCGGAGCGAGCTGTGGGACAAGTTAACTTCCAGGGTGTCTCATCACAGCCTCACGGAATAAAGAGGGACGCGCAGCAAAGGGGAATAGAGAGACTGAAACATTAGACAAAGGCAGAAAGTGGATGACAAACAGAGAAAGAGACAAAGTCAGAGAGAAAGGGACAAAAAAAAAGAGGCAGGAGGAGAATACAAAGGGAGAGGATTTATAGAGCTAGCAGGCAGCCTTTAGCGAGGTGTCACTTTGCTTGCCAGGGCTTTTCTACTTCTGAACCATTGGTAGCTACAAACTCCTGCTCTGATTTTGATGGCGCCGGCGTCTCTCTGAAGTTTTGAGATGAAGGCTTATAAATTGGTAGCTTTCATACGGCGACATCTTGTCTATATTTCAAATCAATCAAGCGTAGAGGACACGCCAATCACTGCTGCTCTGAGCACTCTCACAAAGGCAAAAAAACATACAGGACAAAACACACAAGGCCGGGCACACAAGCACACACTCTCATCCACTCCCTTTTATTTTCTCCATCAC